CCTTCCCCCATGAAAGGGATTGACAGGGATGAGATGTTTCCCCTGGCGGGGATGTTTAGATTCAAGGTGCACAATTTTATAAATAAGGGACACCACTTCGGACTGAGATTAGGAGAATGTTTTTGACTCAGGTTTGTGAACCGTTAGAATTCTCTGCATCAGAGGGCTTTGAAAGCTGAGTCTTCGAGTTTATTTGTAGTAACTATTAACTGATTTCTAAATACCGGTGACATAAAGGGATGTGAGGCTGGTGTGGAAAATGGGTATTGAAGTGGATGATCAGCCATGATCATATTGAATGTCAGCACAGGATTGATGGGCTGAATGGCCTAATCCCATTCCTCTGTCTCTAAATGGCTGCCTTGCAAGCATACAGTTACCAATAATCACTCAAACATGACAGGAAACAACAGAAATATTTTTGTCCTCAGAATGTGTCCAGGCAGTTGAAAACTTCCTGGTCTTTTGGGCTGCATTTCAGTTACCAAAACCACTTTCCTTTCAGGTGATGATGTTGAAAGCAGTTGTGGTTATGTATTTTTATCCGTCACCAAGTTTCCAGAAACACACTGATGATTGTTATTGCCAACCGTTGTCTGTTGTCTCTATGAAGTGTCTGAACGGACGGGGCCAAGTCCCTTGTCTGTAAAGCAGTCTTCTCCCCATCGCAGGCTATCTGCAGCAATGAAAAGCAGTGGAATTGTTATTGAGAAGAGAATTGTGAGAATGAGGCCAAGGAGTTGAGAGTTATGTTCTGAAGTTGTCTTTCTTGAAGTTTGAGGCATTGTTTACTTAGATTGAATTTCCTGCAATGTGTTATTGAAACTTAGAGGCCCCGTTAAACTGACAGCTTCTCTGCTCCTATGATGCTGCTTGGCCTGCTGTGTTCATCCAGCCCTGCACCTTGTTGTCTCGGATTCTCCAGCATCTGCAGTTCCTACTATCTCAGCTTTGACATACTTTTGGGTTTCCTATTTTAATTATCCTCAGCACCTTAAGTATCAAATTGTTTGTTAAATTTTCTTCAGCTCCTCAGGACATTTTATTTTCAAGATGATATAAAACTGCACTTGTTGTGAAGAAAGGTACCCGAAACGTCAGCCTTCCAGCTCCTATGATGCTGCTTGGCCTGCTGTGTTCATCCAGCTCTACACCTTGTTATCTCAGATTCTCCAGCATCTGCAGTTCCTACTATCTCTGGTACCAGAGTTGGTTGGGCAGAGCACACAGCATTGCTCTGAGAAGGGAAAGGTTACTTTTGGGTGTAGCAAAGCCATGGAGGGATTTGTAAATTCTATCGAAAGAAGGGGTGAATTGAATTTCTTGTGCCGAGGGTATGATCAGCAGTGTTCTAGTCAGTTTGAAGTTCAGGATGCCAGCTTTTAGATCTTTACAAAATCACATAAAACCTCCCTCCAGATTAGTAGTTTTAGGAGTATTGCCAAGTTCTGAAGAACAATAACATTTGCACTGTGTAAGCTTATCTTCAGATTTCAAAAGCAATCACATCAAAATGGATTATTCAGAAGAACTTCTAAATCATTGGAAGAATGCATATATTACAGAATTTTCCCGACCAGGAGTGTACATTGTTTTAATGGGGCTTGCCTAAAATGCCCAATAGAACCTCTTGTTTCATCCATCATCTTGATGTGTCTTTGTACTGATCAATGATCTTTGCTCAATGTGCAGCCCTGTGTTGGAAGTGACCAATTTTGTTTGAATTATTTGCTGTTTTGCATTCAGAAATTGCATTTGATGTCCATTTTGGTCGACATTCTGTTATTGATGCTTTTGCCTGAGTTGTTTGCATTGTTATTTGTTTAGAGCAGCACTGTGGCTCGACGGTTAGTACAGCTCCTTCACAGCGCAAGGCACCCAGGTCTGATTCCAGCCTTGGGTGACTGTCTAAATAAAAACCGAAAGAACTGCAGATGCTGTAAATCAGGAATGAAACAGAAGTTGGTGGAAAAGCTCAGTAGGTCTGGCAGCATCTGTGAAGAAAAAAATCAAAGTTAACGTTTCAGGTCCAGCGACCCTTCCTGAGAACTCATGGTAGCTAGGAAAATGTCGGTTAATATGCAGAGGATAGGGTGAGGGGAGGGAATAAGGATTAAACGATAGGTAGTGATAGAGTCCAAAGAGAGAGAAGAGCAGTTGGACAGACAAAGGAGTTGATAATGATCTTGCTAGGAGAGTGAATAGCTGTTAATGGGGACTGTTAATGACTAACAATAGGTAGTGTGTAATGGCAGGCTGTGTGATAACAAGGCCTGGTGTGTGGGGTAAGGGGTTAGGACGTGGGAGAGTTCAGGCGCTAAAATTATTGAACTCGATATTGAGTCTGGAGGGTTGCAGGGTCCCCAAGCGGAAAATGAGGTGTTGTTCTTCCAGCTTGCATGAGGTTTGCTGGAACACCGCAGCAAGTTTGAGAGGGTGATGTTGGCCAGGGAACAGGTGTGTTCAAGTGGCAGGCAACTGGAAGCTTGGGGCCCTTTTTTGCTAGCGGAACGTAGATCTTCTGCAAAGCCATTGCCCAATCTACGTTTCATTTCCCCAATGCAGGGGAGATCACATTGTGAGCAGCAAATGCAGTAGACAAGATTGTGGGAACTACAGGTGAAGTGTTGCTTCACCTGGAGGATATGTTTGGGCGCTTGGATACTGGGAAGGGAGGATGTCAATGGGCAGGTGTTACACCTTCAGTGGATGCAGGAGAAGGTGCCATGGGGTTGTTGGGGGAGGTGTTGGATGTGAAGGAAGAGTGGACCAGGGTGTCCTGGAGGGAACGGTCCCTGTGTAAGGTAGACAAGTGAGGGGAGGGGAATATGTGTTTGGTGGTGGCATCTTGCTGGAGGTGGCGGAAATGGCATCTGATGATCTTGTAGATGTAGATGTGGATGCTGGTGGGATGGTAGGTAAGGACAAGGGGAATCCCATCACTGTTGTGGGAGGGAAGAGAAGGGGTGAGGCTGGAAGTGCAGGAGATGGGTCAAACTCGGTTGAGGGCCCTGTCAACAACGATGCTGAGGAATCCTTGGTTGAAGAAGGTGGACGTTTTGGAGGCTCCCTTGTCGAAGTTGGCCTCATCTGAGCATATGTGACAGAGACAGAGGAACTGAGATAATGGGATGGAGTCTTTACAAGAAGCCGGGTGTGAGGATGTATAGTCCAGGTAGCTGTGGGAGATGGTGGGTTTTTGGTGGATATTAGTGGCCAGTCTATCCCCAGAAATGGAAACGGAATGTCGAGGAAGGAAAGGGAGGAGTCAGATAGATCAGGTGAAAATGAGGGCAGGGTGGAAATTGGAAGCAAAACTGATGAACTTTTCTCATTCCGGATGAGAGAGGGAAGCAGCACTGATGGTGTCATTGATTTATTGGAGAAAGAGTTGTGGGTGGGGGCCGGAATAGGACTGGAAGAAGGAATGTTCCATGTACCCCCTGAAGAGACTGGCATAACTGGGGCTCATGTTGGTACCCATGGCCACCTCTCTGACCTGAAGAAAATGAGATGAGTTGAAAGAGAAGTTGTTGACGGTCAGGACGAGCTTGGCCAAACAGAGGAAGGTGGTGGTGGGTGGAGATGGTTCGTGTCTTGCTCCAGGAAGAAGCGGAGAGCCTTAAGACCCTCCTGGTGGAGGATTAATGTGTAAAGGGATTGGACGTAAATAGGAGGCGGCTGGAGCCTGCAAACTGGAAATTCTGAAACTAGGGTAAAGCATCTGATGAATCACTGATGTTCGTGGGTAGGGACTGGACCAGTGGAGAAAATACTGAATCCAGGTAGGAAGAAATGGGGGCAGGAGCAGGCTTAAACAATGGATCCTATTTGTGGATTTTTGGGAGGAGATAGAAGCGAGCTGTGCAGGGATGGGGAACTGTCAGCTTGGAGGCAGTGGCAGGGGAGATCACCAGATGAAATGAGATCAGTTACTGTAATTGATACAATGGCCTGATGTGTCATGGTGGGGCCATGGTTCAGGGGAGGATAGGAGGAGCTTTCTGAGACCTGGCGCTTAGCCTCTGCAATGTAGAGGTCAGTACGCCAGACTGCAGTCACACCAACCTTATCAGCAGGTTTAATAATAAATTCAGGGTTGGATCTAAGTGCACAGTGCAGTCAGTTCGGAGGGAGATAGGTTGGATTGGGTGAAGGGGACAGAGAAATTGAGGCAACCAACATCATGTCAACAGTTCTCAAAGAACAGATCGAAGTGCAGGTAAAAGGCCAGGTGACTGACTGTGTGGGTTTCCTCCCAAAGTCCAAAGATGCACGGTTAGGTGGATTGGCCATGAGGAATGCAGGGTTACAGGTATAGGGTAGCAGGATGGGGTTAGGTGGAATGCTCGTTGGAGGGTCATT